CAGATAAGAGAAGATTGGCTCTATTATTTGACAACCCCAACATAAGGTGCAATTTCTTTTCTTCCATGCTTTTCATCTGATTTACAACTTTTCATTCATCACGGTAAGGAATATTTTTGCGTTGAGAACAATAAATGCAAACTCTATAGGTAAACTATTATACCAGTCGTCTCAAGGTTATGTGATTGACTGCATATAGACATAATAGGTTCAGTTTCGTTGGAAACATCTGAGTGCTTCTATCCTATTTGAGCAGGAAAAAAACACAATAGGTGTAGACTGCTTTTAAGTAGCCAGAACCTTGTAAGTTTAAATATTACCCCTTGGAAAATTGGTGGGTGGCAGTACTTGGAATGCACTTTATGCAAGAAAATAAAGGGGGAGTTGATGGAGAAAGAGGGAGGGAGTAACAGAAAAGGTCAGAAAGATCTGACGACGGACTGAGGAACAGAGAGAAATCCGAGAGGGAGAACAAATGGCATGAGAGAGAGAGAGAGAACAGAGTTCTAAAACTGCATTTTCTTTTTGAATCCGAAGTCCCATTGTAAGGGCTCTATACTGTGCCCAATAGCTCCTAATAGAGTAACTTTTAATAAAAACCATAAATAAAATAGGGAAAATTGGGGATAAATGCCCATTTGAAAATTAATGGGGGAATGGTCTCTAGGAAAGGTGAAGCTATGAGGTCCTATAGGCGAAATAACAATATGAAATGACCACTTTGTTCTTTGTGCAGCCCATCTTCTCTATGTGCAAGCTAGTTCCCTCCTGCAATTTATCTTCCTTTTGTGCAACTTATTTTTCTTTGCGTGCAATTCATCTTCCCTTTACAACTTCTCTATATGCAAAATTACATTTTGTGCAATTTATTTTCTTTTTACGCAACTTATCTTCCATCTTTACTAAAAGCACATTTTGATAGCAATAATAGGTGATATACTTTCCAGATTCATTACTATGTGGGCGTAAGTTCAAAATTTAATTTTTACTACTAATACTGATTCTGCAGTTGGAAAGTATTTAAGCAACAAGTGAAAGAGATGCTTCGCCGCAGTGATCAGAAGGGAATTGAGATGAAAAAGCCAGGTGGTTCACTCTACAATTTTCCCATGCCGGATTGCATGTGTAAACAGGCAGAAGCTAGAAACGAAAGTGTCAATACACAAGCATAGAAGAAACTAAGGAAGTAAGGTTTTAGTCCTCCTTAAGAATACGAATCTCTCAATACCTGTAATTTATCTTATATAATTAAGTGGTGAAATTGAGAAAACATTCTTTAATTTAAGTTAGGCAAAGCTAATAGGTTTTGATTTCCCCTTATTATTTGTCCTCTGATTCGTAGGTGAAAATTAACAGTTCAAATCACATTTCATTGTACATTATGATAATTTAGACTGTGGACAGACTTTAAACTGACCATCAGTATTCATTATTTGGTGACAAGTGATGTTTGGTAAACTTGATTTAGTGGAAGTGAATCATTCAGCACGTGCTGAACAAGATTGGCTCTTTCTGTCTTGTAATCTTTGTTTACTTTGTCCTAACTTAGTAGCAGGCGGCGAAATAATCATGACCTCTGTGGGCAGCACACGCATTCTGTGACTCAGACCCCTGTTGTAGTGTAAACTACACTACGAGAGAGGTCTTATATTTAGGACCAAAGGAGTACTAAAATTGGATTAGTCATTTAAGTTAGTTGAAATAGGGTGGACTCAATCATGAATAAAATAATACAACTTAATTGTATATTAAAAGTATTCATTCATAAATACCTCTAAAAAGAGTAATATTTAAATTAAAAAAGTATTAATTCGCATGTGAATAGAATAATTTTGTATAAATCAATCATAATCTAATAAAACAGGTACTAAAATATAAATATGATAGATTGTTATTTTTTTAACCTAATGTTTTGACAAGCTGGTCCGACTTGATCAATTTGTCTAAAACTTTTGACTATACCAAGGGATTAGTTAACTGATTTATTGTTTTGACAAAGTCATTCAGATCAGATTTTAATATTATGATATATCATATTGATATTCATTTTTCGTTTAGTTAGGAGGGTTGGGGCACCCAAGGTGGGACAAATTATTAATTATAATAATATTTTATATTAATTATAAAATGAAATTCTGATTAAATTAAATATGAAATTAATATAATTAAATATTTAAATATTAATTAAACTTTTAAACTATAAACTTATAAACTAATATTAATTGTTATTAATAAAATAACAAAACTTGAATTTAAATCCAAAAATGAAAAAAAAAATCTTACGATACTCTATACTACTAATTAAGATAAAGATATTGACCATTAATAAACATATAATTGATTGTTGAGAAACATAATATATTTAATAAATAGATTGAAATATATTCTATTAATCCTTATCTTCAAATTGTTATGCTCTTTATGTCCTAGAATATTAAAAAAATGAAATATTTATTTGAAATTCTATATTCTTTTGTATATTCATGTTCATTATGTTATCAGCACCTTGGCCGCCACTTGGTATAGTGTGAATCTTTATGACTGGCCACCGTTTGTGGAGCACTCATTGGCGTATTAAAGGTAATGTCTTTTGTGTTGTCTATTAGACTATTACGATATTATTGTAATCATTACTACTTCCTGTCCTTAATATAAGATTCCGTTTGATTTTTTGTTTGGTCCTAATTATAAGACCCCAATCCATTTTTTCTTTCATATTTATGCATTTTTTTCTAAGATAGCCCTTCTAATAATGATAGTTTTAGCCAATACACTTAATTAGCAATGATATTTTAAGAATGACAACACTTATTTATTACAAATAACTAACTTAACACTTCCTTAATCTCCTTAAATAAGTCAACTGGTCTTATAATTAGGACCGGAGGTAGTATTTAACAATAATTATCAGCTTTGCCTCCTTTTTCTTTCTAAATTTCTCCCTTTGCTAAAGGATGCAAACAAAAGTGAACATTTATGACTTCATGTGAAAGGGTTTCTGTGTTTAGCACCAAGCTTGAGGGACACAAACGAGAAACACGTACGTGGCATGCGGATGATGTCATTTAGAGTAAATTATATTTTTTTAATGTTTTAAATTACTATATTTACAAGTTCTATCAAATTTGATTGGGTAAATATAATTTTTGATTTTTGAAATTTGGATTCATTTTAATTTTAATTCTTTAAATTGCAAATTCGTGATTGTAGTCCTTGGAATTTATTTTTTTAAAAAAAGTTATTTCCTGGACATGGAATGATGTTCAAACTTCAAACCTGATGAAGAGTTGTAAATGGTGCTACAATGATAACATGGACTTATCAGATGACACGTAGCTGGATGGTTAAAAAAAAATGGAACGTAGAGAAAGGTCATTAGGATGCAACGTATTAAATGGTAACCCAATTTTTTATGCCTAGTCATTAAAAATTTTATTTTTTTCCCATACGACCTAGGTTGACTTGTCATTGCGAATGACCCGTCCAATTTTAGTATGGGCAAAAAAAAAAAAAAAGAGAGAGTCTAGTTTTGGCAATACGTGTGACTTGTCCTAGGATTCGAAGATGGCATATTTTTGTAAATAATAAAAATTGTATGTTAATGACACGTGGCTGTAAGACACAGAACATTTATGGCATGATAAGGATGTGGCGTGGAGAATAATTTCTCCCATGCTTTCGTTTATAATAAAGCTTTTGCAAAAGACAGTTTGATAATAATATCTTTTGACCCGCACGAGACAGCGGAAGCTACTCCCAACGTTCCTGACAGCACGGTCCTGTGCTTCCGCTTTTTCTTCCATGGTTGCTTTTCTTTGACTTATTTTCCTCAAAATAAAAAACAAAATTGTATCACCGGGAGTATGTGTTAAATTAGGATAAAGTAACATCCATGATGCTACTATTCCGGTCCAACTTGTTTGATTTGGTCATAATTATAGGATTTTAATTTATTTTATTTTTATATTATATATTTTTTAAATAATTTTTTTAACAATGATAGTTTTAACCATACTCTTAATTAGTAAAGATATTTTAAGAAAAAAAATACTTATTTAGGACAAATAACTAACTCAACTTACTTCTTTAATCTCTTCAAATTAGTCAACTAGCTCTTATAATTAGGACTGAAGGTAGTATTTTCTTAATCTTATGATACATTTAGTATTTGATATTATTTTTTATATGTTTATAATACTTTAATTTTATTTATTGGGTATTCAACACCCTAAATTATAAATAAAATTAAATCACTAGATCAAACTGAAAAATAACATTAGGATATTGAATGTAGCAGAAAAATAAAATGAATATATTACATGCATTGTAAATAAAATTAGAGTATTAGACGTATTTGAAAAATAATATTATTGGATGCTACTTTATTCTTTTACTTGGACCAGAATAAGGCATGGAGATTTTATACATATTATTTATTTTATGATAAATTCAGTAATATGTTAGAATTTGTTTATTTTGATTCAATTAAAAAGTATATTAAATAAATAAATCTAATTACTCAAAAATTTTTCCTTTTCCCTATTCTAATCTGTGTCTACATATTTCTAAAATTTTATACATATTGCAATGTTATCAAATTATTAATAATATAATTTTCTGAGCCTATTTAGTCTAAAAGTTTTAACCTAAAATTTTCATTAAATCAACATATCTTTTCATTAAAAAATAATATTATTCTAAGAAATATGAGTTTGTTAATTTATTGTTTATCTTTTATGCGAAAATTTTTTGTAATTTTTTATTTCTCCAATTTTTGATGTATTTTGTAAATTATAATAAGGTTTAAAATGTATGGGTTACATGACTAATTTAGATAGAATTAAAAAATTCAAATAATTCTCTCTGTTTTTTTTTTTTTTTTGGGGTCCCGTGTACTTCAATTTTTTTCAATTCCTCCCCAGGGGCAAAGCTACAGAAGAAGCCGCTTCGCCTTCCCGCGCGCCTTCAGTGTGTGACACTGCTCAGACTCAGACGAACCAATGCAGACATTGCTTCGCCTTTCTTCTTCTGTCCACATTCCCTCCATTGCGGCCACCTCCATGCCTTCTCTTCTTCTCTCCAAGAACCCCTCAACCCACTTGTTTTCTCTTTCTTCGCTCTCGCATTATTATTCCCCACATTTTCACACCATGCCTTCTTCCGTACGGCTTTCTCATTCCCTGGTGTTCTCGCTTACCAAGAAGCCCTTCCCTGTGAACTCTCCTATTTCATCTCGCTACTTCACCACTTTGGCGGGTTCAGGAAGTTTTGGTGCTTGTAGGTGCGTGGTTGATGATAGTATGAGAGACATTACGCAAGCAAGAGCCTGGGTTCTGCTTAAAGACGGTATAAAGGGGACACGAACTTGGTCTTCTCTTTCTTCTGATGTTGGTGAGAGTACGAGGGGTTCGGAGAAGTGTGGTAATGGGGATACTGAAGAAGTGTGTTGTGGTTCAGTGGCTTCTGAGGAGAAGCCCTTGAGATTAAATAGGCGACAGAAGGGTTTATCCAGTAGCTTTGAGGCGTCACTAAATCCTGATTTACTGACTGTTCCAGGCGTGGGTCCGAGAAATTTGAGAAAGCTTGTAAGGAAAGGGATTGCTGGGGTTGTTGAGCTCAAGAAACTTTACAAAGACAAGGTATAAATTTGTCTATGTTGCTGTCATTGCGCTTTGTACACCTGCAGCCTGATCATTGTTCATCACTGGATGCCTCATCTCTTGCAATGATAAATCATGCCTGGATAGTCTTGTTGCTTTATTATGTCATATTTTGAGAATATCTGAGCTTCGTTTAGTATTTTCAGTACAATTATTTATCATCCAAGTTCCAACTTCATTTCTAATTCAAGCTATTTTGATAACAAAACTCTTACTTGTCTGATTGACTAGCATATATGATTTGTCTAAATTCAGTTATCTTATTCCTATATACTCAAGTGTGTCTGAACTCTTTGATCTCAAAAGCTTGAACCGCTAGAAGAAGGGTGAGGAATGGATTTATTGTCTATAACAAATAGGAACGATGTTCACTACGCATGGCACATTTGATTTTGCTGCACTTTAGTCCGCCTATGAAGACTCCAGTGCTTCTAGGAATCTAAAATTAGCTTCTAGCCAATTTACACCTATTTCTTAAAATTCCTAGGCTGTTCATCAAGCTGAATTGCCATAAAAGAAAGATAGCAGGGTCAGCATTGTATAAAAGGAAGAAGTATTGCACCTTAGGTGTCACATCACCTTTTTTTTTTTTTTGAGGTTAAGGTTAAATTTTTACCTGGTTCTTTTTTATCTTTTTTGGCAGTTCTTTGGAAAATCTAGTGATAAGATGGTTGAATATCTTCAGAGTTCTGTGGGAATCATCCACAGGAACCATGCTGAAAGTATAACAACCTACATCAAAAAGAGTGTGGATGAAGAGTTGGATGATACCTCCTCCTTGCAGCTTCCACAAAAGAAACAGATTACATTCTGTGTTGAGGGTAATATCAGTGTTGGGAAGACTACTTTCCTTCAGAGAATAGCTAATGAAACAATTGAATTGCGTGACCTTGTTGAGGTGGTTCCTGAACCCATTAACAAGTGGCAGGATGTTGGAGCTGATCACTTCAATATTTTGGATGCTTTCTATGCTGAGCCCCAACGGTATGCTTACACGTTTCAGAACTATGTATTTGTTACCAGGGTTATGCAGGAAAGAGAGTCATCTGGTGGAATGAAGCCTCTTCGATTAATGGAGAGGAGTGTTTTTAGTGACAGAATGGTGAGAATTCAATGCTTTGCTATTGTTCTCCTTATTTAGTAAGTTGGTGTTAAATTACCTTGTTAACAAAGCTTCTCCTGAATTCATGTTTTCCTCCCTTGCTTCTTTTATTATGGGGTTTCTTACCCTCACATTTTATATATTTTTCAGAAGAACTGCTTTAAACATGCATTGGTTAGAGTTTTTTAGTGATTGCAAGTGATGGTTTGGCAGCATGTGTTTGTTTCTTTTTCTCATTTGTCCAATTCAAGAGGGGAAACATTGGCCAAAAAAAACAATCAAGGGGGAAAAAAAACCCTGCTTTGAGAGATTCAACACTAGTGTATTCTTATGACATCTTGAATGTTGCATAAAGGTCTTTGTACGAGCTGTTCATGAGGCTAAGTGGATGAATGAGATGGAGATTAGTATTTATGACTCGTGGTTCGATCCTGTTGTGTCCTGCTTGCCTGGACTTATTCCTGATGGTTTTATCTATCTTAGGGCAAGTCCTGATACTTGCCATAAGAGAATGAGGTTGAGGAGGAGGGAAGAGGAAGGTGGAGTCACATTGGATTATCTCCGTGACCTCCATGAAAAGCATGAAAGCTGGTTATACCCCTTCCAAAGCGGCAGTCGTGAAGTGTTATCTGTGAGTAAGTTGCCTCTGCATGTCGACAATTCCTTGCATCCTGCTATAAGGGAGCGTGTGTTTTATCTGGAGGGTGATCGTATGCATTCAAGCCTTCAGAAGGTATTATCTTTTTGATATCGATGTGTTAACTTTATTATCCGTTATTTAGTAGTACGGCTTGAGAATTTTTTATAACAAGCAGGTTCCTGCATTAATTCTGGACTGCGAACCCAATATTGATTTCAGCAGAGACATTGAGGCAAAAAGACAGTAAGCTATCTATCTCTTGCTCAGATAGCGTTGAACATGGACTAAACTTGGTTCTGTGAGATGTCTACTTACCCACGTGATTTTTCTATTGCGCTTGATTATTTCTTTTCTAGGTTCGGCTAATTAAAGTTGCAAATTGGGTTTGCTAAATTTCATGGTAAAGCACTGATTTAATAAATAATGAGGCGTGCAAAACAATTCTGGCCTACTGCTCCATTATTAATACTGAAACAGTACAGATAAGTGGCCAAACTATATGCTAGTCTCTATATAATCTCTAATAGAGGGTTGTTATTCATGTCGATGATTATATCCTTTATCTCTTGATAAGGTGTTTAATCTCTAATAAAGTCGTCTGCTTAATGTGCTTCACACGTGGCGCAATCTAGTGAATGAGAGGCAATTCTGCCTCCCCCACCACTGTTAGAAATAAGAATTCTGCAGCATCATTGAATTAATCCTTACTTATATAATTTTACCTCTTTTTTTTTTCCCCCCCGTTTCTTGTCTACATTCTTATGTTGAACGATTTGTTCATGAAACTTTAAGGTGACTTCATTTGGACAGTCTTCTAATGAGTCTTACTGAATTGTCACTACCTAAAATTGGTGACGGTAAGTTTAAGTTTCATGGGACTTGGGTTAAGCAGTGTAATATATGTTTGTATTAGGTTCTTGCTGATAGTGTGGTTTATCTCTGATACTTGCTGATGATGGTATTCCTTGGCTGCAGTTAGATAGGATTTTTTTTTTTTTTAATATGAGAATTTCATATAATCATTACTTCAATTTAGGGACTGGAAAGTTTTTAGAACTTTTCTTCAACTGGCTTAGTGATCGGAATTAGAACCTAGATAAAAAGTGTCTTCGTTTTTCTTGATCATTAAAAATCTTGGTTTCTTGGCATGACATTTTTTTTTTTAAAATATCATTAATGAAACAAACCAACATGCAAGAACATATTCGTACGTCTATCATGACCTTGTGCATTTGAAATTTTTTGTTATGGTGTGTAGTTATGCTCATCAAGTTGCAGAGTTCTTTGAATTTGTAAAGAAGAAGAAAGAAGCCCCATTGGATGAAGCTGGCCGAGGGGAGAAACACAGCCAGCCACAGATGCTGCAACCCCATAAAGATGGCCTGTGGCTACCAGGCCGAGCACAATTTCCTTCATCGGCCCTGAATCCACTGGACTTCCGGCCTGCAAGCTACGCAGGTCATGTCTAGCTTGTTTGTCGTGAAGCATACAAGTGGGCCATGGAATATTCAGCTTCCTTCAACATATTGGTGATCTTCTAATGTTTCCCTAATTTACATGTGCTTGTTTTCCTTCAATGTAAACATTTCAGCTTCTGACCCTGACTAATGTAAGAGATAGTTGAATGCTTGTTAATACCATGCTAGGATGCTTCTTAGGTGTAGGTTGTATTTCCTTGGTTGGAAAGTTTACTGAGTTTTAGGCAATTATGTAAGTTGATCTTCTTCGTGCTGTCTCTTTAGGGACTCAAGGGGAATGCAAGGAATGACTCTGTCTTGTTCCGTTTGTGTTAATATTTTTTAACTGTAGTTTGAGATGACTGATCATACTTTTATTCAAGGTACTAAAATTCAGTCAAATGAGTGGTTCAAGGGCCAATGATCCAAGCATAGTTGAATTAGCGTCAACCTAATTATGATTAAAATACTATAATGTAATTAAAATATATAAAAATATCTATAGACAATCATGAAAAGAGTAATATTAAAAAAACGTTATCTATAGATAAATTGATCATTATGTATAAATTACATATAATTCGTACATAACATTTTCAATGGAGTTACTTTTGTAATTAAAGTTTTAAGCAAAGATATATGATTTAAGTTTTGTTTGCTGTTGACCAATAAGAATATGATGGTGGGGATATCTGTATAGTTGACAAAATCACATGAAAGAAAAAAAATAATACTCTCTAATTCTAAATATAAGACTCTATACTAGTGTATATAAAGGTTTTATATTTAGAATCGGAGGAGTAGTATTTACGAGGTTAATATATATACTTCATAGTATAAATAAGCTCGCATCGAAAAAAAAAAAAGGGCTGGCATTTTCACCTCAAAAAGGAGCACAAATTTAAACTGGTTTACCAATAATTTATTTTTTAAAAAAAGAAAAACTTCGTTTAACTTGAATCGAATTAACACAACCAAACCAAAATAATCGATAAGTCAAATCATTATAGATCAACCTTTTTTCTAAACAAATCAGTTTGGTTCACTTTGCTTTCACTTCAAAACTGAACCTTTGAATACTAACAATCCAACACAGCAAAACTCTGAGCAAACCTCATCTGGCCAGCAGTATTACTGCCTCCGAACCTCTATAAAAATTAGATAATTAATTTGAGTGTTAAGAAAATTAGTTAAGTTAATATTTGTAATAAATGCATTGTTTTCACTAAAATACTCTTATTAATTACATGTATTAAAAAGAAAATTCTTTAACATGTGTAATCACTATAGAACTACTATAAATAAATAAATAAATATAAAAAAAAACAAAATTATAGAATATTATATTTACAATCAAATTGAATCTTCAGCTAACTCTTATTTTAGGGCTAGAAGTAGTATTAGCTCAATTAATGACAACTAAAACACTTCGTTTGTAAGAAATCCCATAACATTATTTTTTGCCAGGAGCAAGTTGTTGTACAAACTTTTATATACATTTTGATTATAACAATGAAGAAATATCTCAAATATGATCCTGCGAGTTCCAACTGCATAATTAAATATTAAAGGATGTAAGTACATTATTTTCTTGCTCCCTTATATGCATGAATAAACTATACAGCTATTGATAACTGAAATATTAACCTGTACAAAATCCTGCTGAATTTTCAATTATCTGAAATTGCACCAAGGCAAGTCCACAATGGAAGTGCCAGGGCCAGCAGCAACAATGGTTATTACGTGCATTCCCATGAGTTTTCATATCCCAAGGTCGAATGATGGGTTGGAAAGGTGAGGATTTTGCAAGTGAGATTGAGGTATTGTATGCGCACCTTGCTTCTGAGCTGAAAAATCTGAGTTTTGTTTAAGAAGAGAAGCTGCTTGAGCCTCCAACTCATCAAGGTCAATATTATCAAAAATGTGATCATCACAGAGAATATCCTTAGCTGCACAAGCATCCATAGGTTCTTCGTTTGATTGAAGTGCAAATTGCTGCTCAAGATTTGCACTTGGAAATCCAAAACGATGAAATGACAATTTTCTTTTTCGACTTCTCATCTGTGTCGTGTTTTCAGCAGGAAAACTACTCGAAGGTGTAGCTTCTGAGGTGATTTGGTTGCCTTCAACGGACTGCAAACTCTTGGAAGCTGACTGATTTGTTTGCTCAATTTGACGAGTCTGAATATGTCTTGGTATGCTGCCAGAAGAGTCCCCATTTTCACTAATTATAGTCATAGACGACACGTAGTCAGGACTAAATGTTGCAGAAACGTTGGTCCCTCCTTCAACTGGTATTTGACTGAGCAAAGAACGCCTGCAACATAGTTTCGGTTATGCATCATTTACAACACCGAAAGTTAATCAGGAAATTTTAAAGGGATAAGGGTTCTGATCAAATGCAGAAATAGGAAACCAAAACATAGAATACAAGAAAGCAATCTTTTCTTTCCCTCTCCCGCTAATGGAAAACGTATTTTGTACATGCTTCAATTCTAACTAGGCTACAAAAGCTAATGCAGATGTGTTAGTTTTGAAATCCAATTTTGGAACAATAGCGAAAGAGTTAGGACGGTGAAGAAATCCTTGTTTTAAGGAATTCTTCACCAAGCAACGAAGAGGTTTAAAAGAAACCAACGATAGTTGGTTGGGTGAAAAGAACTTGATTCCTTTAAGTAAAGTCAAGGGTTAGAATCCCATGGATGAAAAAAAATTCAAAATTAGGAGAACTACCTTCAACTGAGCTTGACAATGCTCAAATCTGACCCAATAATGTAAGATATGAGATGAATGCATGAAAAAACCAATAGATGAATTGCTTTGGAGAACTTATTGGTAATTTCAAATTCTTGCATGCTTTAGGACCCATTCACTCTTCAAGTACAGCACTTCCATTTGTCTCGTTTTGTCTCATGGCTTTTTAAGCAAGCCAAAATCCAAGTGAGGACAGCAGGCAAGTGTTCTATAGCCATGGCCAAATGAAGGACTCCATGGAATTCATCAAAGGACATAAATTGAACGACCATAACCAAGCAGTGAAGTCTATAATGACATTTGTTTCAGGATGATTATCTTACTCTTGTCTTAAACCAAGCGCTAATATCATGTAAAATTCAAGAGAACAGAAATATGATGAATAGGATGACTTGCACATAAAATTGTCATTTTGTAATTATAATGAGCTAATGCAACAATATTTTCCAATAAGAAGAAATTAACAGATTATATCTATAAAAGATTGCCCCTATTCATGCATGTCTACCGACAGCTTTTCACCAGGAAGCTGAGAAGATTACAATTTGAAGGGAAATAAAAGGGAAGAATAAGAACCTGTATATTGCCATCATGTCTATTCCGCTAGCTCTGGACTGAGTTGTTGCTGTAGGGTTCATCCTGTCATCTATGAAACTATCCGATGAACTGTCATCCTCACCATCCTCATCATTAGAAACGTCAGCTTCTGAAGAAACCCTAAGGAAATTGAGTAGCTCATGTATTGTTTCCACAAAACCATGAAAGATAGGCTGAATACGTTTACCAAAAATGATAAGAGAAGGATAACATGAGAATGCAACATTTAATAAGTCTAAGCATGAGCTTACTCAGCCTCGTCGTCAATGAAGACTCTGACATTGTGCATTGATTTCCTTCTACCTAAAATGCAGAGAACAAATAGAAACAGATTAAGTTCACCGCAATACTTCATATATAATGTTCAATTATAATGTGTTGCCACCAGTAAAGCTTTTTCCATAGATATAAAAGTTAGCTAAAGTCAAATATTTCCTTCAGTTTTGAGGGTAACGAAACATTGATAAAGATTAAAGTTGGACGCAACAAACATTAGCAAAAGGTACCTTTGCCATGATCTTTTCTGCTTTTCTCTTTCCTATGACGCCTACCATCGTCAGCTTTACGCAACCTTTTAAATCTATGTGCTGGCTTGACACTATCAGCAACATTTCCACCACATAAAGGTGAATCTTCACTAAAGCTCCGGTTGGTAATATCCGCTAAAAGATTTTGGGCTTCCTCCACCACAGGAGAACTAAAGACATGAACTCTTCTAATTGCACGACTCTTCCGTTCGAATAAAAGAGTTTGAGTTTCATTATTAGAAGGATCAATAGGTACGTTATTTACATCTGCGGCATTATCAATAACGACCTCTTCATTTGTCCCTAAACTTGAGGTAATTTGTTGTTCCGTCTGGTGATGAACAAGTGGTTTACAGTGCCGAATGATAAGCTGGCTTCTTGATAACCCTGCAAATTTTATTTATCTCAGGACAGATTATTCAATGACATAATTAACAGAGATCTTATTTTGCAACATTATTGAAAAAACCATCATGACCTGGAAGAAAATCAGTCCTCTCATCAATGGGAGACTCTGGAACAACACCACTTTTAATTAAACTGGTCAAACGGGGACTACACTGGGACTCATTGATGTCGTTATTGAATACGTCGTCTAGCAACAAAGATGTCTTGAACTGAGAATGATCAGGCGTTCCACTATTGCTATGCCCTTCATCTGACATAACTGTGTTAGCAATTGGAGTGTCAGGAACTGTCTCTTCAAACTCACATGTTTTCTCTTTATTTTCATCTAAGTCAATAAAACTAGATGACGGTAGATCATCCTTCTTTATGCAACTTGTATTAGGCGATCTCTGTTCTCCCACAATATTATCTGGTGCAGTTAGATCAACAAAGTCTTCAGTCTGAATCCCTAAACGAGAGGGATCCAGCTTCAGGCAACTTACAGAGACTGCATTGCTTCCAACGGTATGCCTAGAGTGTGATTTGTTGTCTGAAAAGGACAATAAATAAATAAAGGAAAGGCATCAAACTAGCAGATGTGTTCACAGGTTTTCATATTTTGAGGTTTTATATGCATGTATATGAGAAGGTCACCACTTCTCCAAACATCAATCCCCCACCCCCAAAAGAAAATGAAATTGCATTATGTTTGAATCACTTCGTTGCAATACAATATGCTTAATATCTCTTTTCACCCCCCCCCAAAATGTTAAGCAACTTGCAAGATTAAAAAGTCTTTAAGGGGGAAAAAAAACTAAAGAGGATAATCGCAATTCTCATTACAAAATATATTTGAAACAATAACTAAGATAATTATTCTTTTTTTTTTGTGTGACTGTTCCTATAATAACATTGTCTCTGGTCTGAAAATAAAACAAGTACGGATGAGCTCCAACCATCTTT